ATGAAACATGTTAAATAAAATAAGAGTATATGTGTTTTGTTTTGTTCTGTTTTTTACCTTCGTGTTTTGTTACTTTTGAATCAGTCTCTCTCTCTCTCTCTTTTTTATAGTTCATTTTGTATATCAAGTGAGACGTTAATTTAACAAACGAGATCAAGACCAGGCTTGCAACACTGCAGGAGAATTCCCCGCTGCAAAGGAACACTATTAATGGTACCGGGTCATTTTCAGGAATCGTACATTATTAATAACTTTTTTTTTTTTTTTTACCGGAGTTATTAATAACTTATTGAAATTTAGATTTTGTACATGTTTTTTCCGTAGAAATTTAGACGTATTCTGATATGACAAGAGCAAGCCAGCCTGTAACGTTGTAGGAAAATTACGTACTCGTGGGAAAATTGATGAACAGTACTTATATGTAAATATTTTTTCTTTTTATCCCAAATTAAACTCAGTGATGTTGAGTTTCGCTATAAATATTATCAATTTATTATCACTCTTTTTAAGTCTACTCAGCTATCTCCTTTCAAAAAAGATATTTGAAGTGTAGAAAGAAGTTCCTCTTGCTTCCTTCCAAAGGGTCATGTTTTTGTCCTACTCAATTCATATTCAATGTTTTCTCAATCAAACCTCCTTTTTTTCCCCCTAATTTATTCTAGAAGAAAAGAAAAGAAAAAAAGAGTTAGTTTCCACTTTATTTTTGTTTGTTGGTTTAATTGAAACTCAAATGATCTTCCCCCCAAATTTCCTATCTATGTTTTCAAGATTTCGCAGCAACACTTTTAATTCCAAATTATTCTCACAAAGCAGTGTATTTTCCCCTCTCTTTACTTGAGTCCCCTTTTTATTTTGTTTTTCATTTGTTTTAGATCATCGTATGCGCAGTCACGTGATTCGGAAGGTAATATTCATTGACACAAAGGGAAAAAGACACAAAAAAACGCACCTTTAATTTCATAAACCCAGAAACGTCCGCTGAATTCAGGAAATCCTATTTTGGTACCATGAGACCAAATTGGGATTAATATGTGAAAGGAAAAGACACCATTGCCCTTCATTTTAAATATTATTTTTAAAATATCACAGCCCTACTGGCCGGCTGGTCACCGAGCTCCTGGGCCCGGCGGCGGTCACCGGAGCTCCGGCGACCAGTCGACAATTGGTCACCGGAGCTCCGTCGGTCGGAATTTTTTTTTTTGAAAATTTTTACAACTTTAATATAACGTTTAACAACTTTTGTAATGCGATTAACACTTCAGTATAACAATTACAACAGCTTTTCTGGAAAATTCAACAAACTCCGACGACCGGAAACAAATTATTTTGAAAATTTTTACAACTTCAATATAACCGTTAAAACTTTTGTAATTCCATTCACAACTTCATATAGCAATTAACAAAGGTTTTCTGGGAAATTCAATAAACTCCGGCGACCGGAAATATTTTTTTGAAAATTTTTACAACTTCAATATAACGGTTAACAACTTTTGTACTGCTATTAACAACTTCAATATAGCAATTAACAACAGCTTTTCTGGGAACTTCAATAAACTCCGGCGACCGAAAACAATTTTTTTGAAATTTTTACAACTTCAGTATAACGGTTAACAACTTTTGTAACCCTATTAACAACTTCAGTATAGCGGTTAACAACAGGTTTTTGAGTTATATAATTTTTCAAAAAATCTGTTGTTAACCACTAGACTGAAGTTGTTAATAGTGTTACAAAAGTTGTTAACCGCTATATTGAAGTTGTAAAAATTTTCAAAAAAATTATTTCCGATCGCCGGAGTTTGTTGAATTTCCCAGAAAACTTGTTGTTAATTGCTATATTGAAGTTGTTAATAGCATTATAAAGTTGTTAATTGTTATATTGAAGTTGTAAAAATTTCAACTTCAGTATAACGTTAACAATACGTTTTTTTGAAAAGTCTTACAAACTCCAATATAACGGTTAACAACGTTGATATAGCAGTTTAACAACTTTTGTACTGCTATTAACAACTTCAGTATAGCAATTAACAACAGCTTTTCTGGGAAATTCAATAAACTCCGGCGACCGAAAACAATTTTTTGAAAATTTTTACAAAACTTCAGTATAACGGTTAACAACTTTGTAACCCTATAACAACTTCAGTATAGCGGTAACAACAGGTTTTTGAGTTATATAATTTTTCAAAAAAATCTGTTGTTAACCACTAGACTGAAGTTGTTAATAGTGTTACAAAGTTGTTACCGCTATATTGAGTTGTAAAAATTTTCAAAAAAATTATTTCCGATCGCCGGAGTTTGTTGAATTTCCCAGAAAACTTGGTTTAATTGCTATATTGAAGTTGTTAATAGCATTATAAAAGTTGTTACCTGTTATATTGAAGTTGTAAAAATTTTCAACTTCAGTATAACGTTAACAATTACGTTTTTTTGAAAAGTCTTACAACTCCAATATAACGGTTAACAACTTTGATATAGCAGTTAACAACTTTTGTACTGCTATTAACAACTTCAGTATAGCAATTAACAACAGCTTTTCTGGGAAATTCAATAAACTCCGGCGACCGAAAACAATTTTTTTGAAAATTTTTACAACTTCAGTATAACGTTAACAACTTTGTAACCCTATTAACAACTTCAGTATAGCGGTTAACAACAGGTTTTTGAGTTATAATAATTTTTCAAAAAAACTGTTGTTAACTACTAGACTGAAGTTGTTAATAGTGTTACAAAAATTGTTAACCGCTATATTGAAGTTGTAAAAATTTTCAAAAAAATTATTTCCGGTTGCCGGAGTTTGTTGAATTTCCCAGAAAACTTGTTGTTAATTGCTATATTGAAGTTGTTAATAGCATTATAAAAGTTGTTAACTGTTATATTGAAGTTGTAAAAATTTTCAACTTCAGTATAACGTTAACAATTACGTTTTTTTGAAAAGTTTTACAACTCCAATATAACGGTTAACAACTTTGATACAGCAGTTAACAACAAGTTTTTAAATTCAAAAAGTGACATTTTTATAACTTCAGTGATGCCTTTAACAAACTCAAAAACCTGTTGTTAACCGTTATACTGAAGTTGTTAATAGGCTTACAAAAGTTGTTAACCGTTATATTGAAGTTGTAAAAATTTTCAAAAAAATTATTTCCGGTCGCCGGAGTTTGTTGAATTTCCCAGAAAACTTGTTGTTAATTGCTATATTGAAGTTGTTAATAGCATTATAAAAGTTGTTAACTGTTATATTGAAGTTGTAAAAATTTTCAACTTCAGTATAACGTTAACAATTACGTTTTTTTGAAAATTTTTACAACTCCAATATAACGGTTAACAACTTTGATACAGCAGTTAACAACAAGTTTTTAAATTCAAAAAGTGACATTTTTATAACTTCAGTGATGCCTTTAACAAACTCAAAAACCTATTGTTAACCACTATACTGAAGTTATTAATAGGCTTACAAAAGTTGTTAATCGTTATATTGAAGTTGTAAAAATTTTAAAAAAATTATTTCCGGTCGCCTAAGTTTGCTGTTGTTAATTGCTATACTGAAGTTGTTAATAGCAGTACAAAAGTTGTTAACCGTTATATTGAAGTTGTAAAAATTTTCAAAAAAATTGTTTCCGGTCGCCGGAGTTTATTGAATTTCCCAGAAAACCTGTTGTTAACTGCTATATTGAAGTTGTGAATGGCATTACAAAAGTTGTTAACGGTTATATTGAAGTTGTAAAAATTTTCAAAATAATTGTTTCCGGTCGCCGGAGTTTGTTGAATTTCCCAGAAAAGCTGTTGTTAATTGTTATACTGAAGTTGTTAATCGCATTACAAAAGTTGTTAACCGTTATATTGAAGCTGTAAAAATTTTCAAAAAAAAAAATCCGACCGACGGAGCTCCGGTTACCAATTGTCGGCTGGTCGCTGGAGCTCCGGTGACCGCCGCCGTCGGAGGTCCGGTGACCGGCCGGCCAGTAGGGCTGTGATATTTTAAAAATAATATTTAAAATGAAGGGCAATGTGGTCTTTTCCTTTCACATATTAATCCCAATTTGGTCTCATGGTACCAAAATGGGATTTCCTGAATTCAGCGGACGTTTCTGGGTTTATGAAATTAAAGGTGCATTTTTCTGTCTTTTTCCCTTGACAAAATGTGCCTGTCATGATGTTTGAATTAATTCTTTAAAAATAATTTTACAGAGTCCAAAGTAAATATGTAAAAACAATTTATCTTAACTTATGTGAATATTTTTTTAGTATTTGTGAGGGTTTTCAAACATCTTTTTAGGGGATGTTTAGGTAATTCGAGAATCACTTTTTAAAAATATCTTTTTATAAATCGAGACAAACTCCTCCATATATTTATTTTGTATACCGTAAAAATAATTTTAAAACTATAATTTTATTCTTATCCAAACACTCCTTTAATCAAATTTGTAATCCCGAGATCTTCCAAGACTGTAAGCACCAACTATTGGCGAAATCCATCTTCGCGAAGAGAAAAATGAGGTTTCCCTTGAATTTACTTAAAATGAAAATGAAAATTAATATATTTCAACATTTCAGCCTTTCAGGTGATTTTTATCGGTTCAGTGACATTGATCATTGAATAATGAGGAAGTGGCATTAAATTAAATGAAACCAAATCTCCACAGCAAATTCAACATTTGACCTCCTTTGACTATGAGAATCGTTATGCAACCGTTAGCTTAATTATAGTACATCAAGTCATGAAAAAAACTAATGAAAACGAAAGAGATCGGAATAAAATATTTAATCTCAAAATGAAATTGCTGAAACCAATAGAACCGTTGGGACCTGGTGATGAAAAGGTTGTTCAAACTTGATATCACAAGTGTTCCAATAAATGTCCCTCTGATCTAAATATCAATTTGAATTCGTTTAGTTCCCTCACCTCCCAGTTACTCTGTCCCCCTCTCTTCTCCCTCGGAATTTATTTTCCCCCTCAAATCGCATCCAAGACCGTTCCTCGTTTTTTGTGCCTTCTTTCTCTCCTCCCCCACCCTCTTCCTTCTCTCTCTAGTTTCAGACTCTCTCTCTATCTCTAATTGCTAGCTGACAGACACAGGGACAGGACAAGGACATCTTTGTTAGGTCTCACCCCTATGAGATTGAAAACCAGAGGACCCTAAAACTATACTCCTACGTATCCCAAAAATACTATCTCCGATAACTCACTGATCAACATCAATGGTAGCTGGCAAGGTAAGGGTGGCCATCGGCCTCCAGAAGTCGCCCGCGCACATTTCCAAACCCGAAACTCCGCCGCCGCCGCCTCCCGCCAAGCAACATACCTCGTCGTCAACCACCGGCTCCGGCAATAAGAGTTCTCACAAGTCTGCTTTCTCTCGCTCTTTCGGCGCATACTTCCCTCGCTCTTCGGCACAAGTCCAGCCCCGTCCGCCTGACGTGACGGAGCTCCTCCGTCTCGTGGAGGAGCTGCGCGAGAGGGAGTCTCGCTTGAAGACGGAACTTATTGAGCATAAGCTCTTGAAGGAGTCTGTCGCCATTTTGCCTGTTCTGGAGAACGAGATTAGTGCCAAGGAAACAGAGATTGAGAGGAATGCCAGGCGAGTGGAGGAATTGGAGGCTGAGAATTTGAGTCTGGTAAATGAGTTAGGGGAGTTGAAGCGTCGGGTTGAAGAAGAGAGAAGAGAAAGCGAGATGAAGATGAAAACGTTGGAGGATAAGATAGAAGAGTTAGAAAAATGGGTATCGGATCATGCAGAAAAAAGAAATGCATTAAACAGCGATGATCTTTCTTCTTCTCAAAGGTTTCAAGGGCTTGTGGATGTTTCTGTGAAGTCGAATCTAATCAAGAATTTGAAGAGAGGAGCTAAGTGCGCAGAGAGTTCCTCAAACCAGGATAGCAATGTTCATTCTCATAAGCAGCTTGAAAGTAGTGTCAATTTGAAAAGAGAGGTAGTAGAAATAGAAATGGAGAAACCCAGACATTCTCGGAATAACTCAGAAGAGCTGGCTGAGTCTGCGGAGTCGGCGATAATCAATGTCAGATCCCGTGCACCCAGAGTTCCAAAACCACCGCCAAGACCCTCGTCGTCGTCGTCTCCTCCATCGCCGCCGTCATCGTCTGACACAACCTCTGATGCTTCAGATGGAAATGGTGAAACAGAGCAAGCAGTTCCGAAACCTCCACCACCGCCACCACCTCGTCACGCGGCTGCATCCAAGTCTGTTCCACCACCACCACCACCACCTCCTCGCTCGGCGGCATCCAAGGCTGTTCCGCCGCCTCCTCCGCCGCCGCCAAAGGGAAGCAAACCAGGACCACCCAAGGTGAGGAGAGTACCAGAGGTGGTCGAGTTTTACCACTCGTTAATGCGGAGGGACTCACATTCCCGGCGGGACTCAGGCTCCGGTGCGACGGAGGTTCCGACGACGGCGAATGCCCGAGACATGATCGGTGAGATCGAGAACCGTTCAGCTCACTTACACGCGGTAAGTAAAACAGTATTCAAGTTTTAGCATAATTACAACTCTGCCCTGTCACAGGGTCAGCGTCAACTGACCAAGCAGCAGTCCCACTTTTACTCCTTTAATTTGAATTTGAATGCGAATTGTCCCATGTTATCGTCGTAGATGAGACAATTTTGAGATTCGAAATCTGCATTCAAAAAGATCACACTAAGACCATAAATATGCCTGAAGCTAATGGCACTACTTTTTAGACACCATTCCGAACTTTTGAGAATTAATGAAGTCAAACTGAAACCATAGAAACATTTCGATGAGTTTAGTCAAACATGGAGTTTGCTGGAAAACGAAGATTAAACTGTGTCTTGCTTACAGATCAAAACAGACGTGGAAACACAAGGTGATTTCATAAGGTTCTTGATCAAGGAGGTGGAGGGCGCTGCTTTCACAAACATCGACGACGTTGTGTCATTTGTTAAATGGCTTGACGAAGAGCTCTCTTATTTGGTAATTAAATCAACTTTAAATGATTAATTATTAATAATTATGTCTGTCGTGATAATGTGACGAAGATTGATAACTGCAATGATGATTCATTCAGGTGGACGAAAGAGCTGTGCTGAAACACTTCGAATGGCCAGAACACAAGGCAGATGCACTGCGAGAGGCCGCGTTCGGATATTGTGATCTGAAGAAATTAGAATCCGAGGCTTCTTCCTTCCGCGACGATCCTCGCCAACCATGTGGTCCTGCTCTCAAGAAGATCCAGTCTCTATTTGAGAAGTATTATCTTCTTTTCATTCTGTTTTTCTGTTTTTTTTTTTTAAATTTTGTTTTATATATAATAATTAGAGCCAACTTGGATCTTTCAATGTGAATAGGATTTCGTATTAATTAAAATGTTGATGGCGTTTGGCAGGTTAGAGCATGGGGTTTACAATATCTCAAGGATGAGAGAGTCCGCAACGCATAGATACAAGGTCTTTCATATACCTGTGGATTGGATGCTTGACACGGGATACGTGAGCCAGGTATTTTCTCGATGCTTCATAGACCCTTAATTTTTGCAATGTTTAATGTTCTATTTCATTGAATAAAGAAAAAAAGGTATGCGCATGAATTATTATCTAACGTTCTTCGTCGGATTCGCACACGAGCATCAGTAATAGTATATATTCCATACAAGAATTTAAAAACATATGCGAGCAAGTAGTAGTCCAAATAACTAGTATGCTGGCAACAAAACGACGGGGTAAAAGGTTGGACTTTTTCCTGTGTGTCTGTCCGTGCAGCCCTGCATGCGCACATGTTGTGAATTCCAAGAAGCCTAAATTCAGTTCTTCGTCCTTTTGCACTAGTCTTGCGCGAAATTGAAGGAGGAACCCAGTGCCTCTAATTTTTTTTTACCGTTAGTTCACGTGTATGAATTGATGAAACTTAAACAAGGGAAGTGGTTTGGTATAAGTAATAATGGCGGAGTACGTGGGAAATAATGTTGGGGTTGTGTTTGCGGGCAGATAAAGCTGGCATCAGTAAAACTGGCGATGAAGTACATGAAGAGGGTATCTGCGGAGCTAGAAGCAGGCGGTGGTGGTCCTGAGGAAGAAGAGCTGATCGTGCAAGGAGTTAGGTTTGCATTTCGTGTACATCAGGTATATAATATATATATATATATATATAAGTTAAAGAAAAGAAGAAGGGACGATGGGTGGTCCTGGGTATTAGTGGTATTATATTTGTGGAGACAGAATAACGTTAGTGTGTGTTGTGTTGGGTTGACAGTTTGCTGGGGGATACGATGTGGAGACGATGAGGGCGTTCGAAGAATTAAGAGATAAGGCGAGGTCGTGCCATGTACAAAGCCAGAGCCAGCAACATAAATACTTGTGCAGGTCTGCTACTTGCTGATCAACATCGTCTGATGATGCTAATATGCTTGCTTTCGGAGCAAACTCTGCTTCCCTTGATATATGTAAATCACCCTTGTAGCCCCCACCTATCCCTTGTTATTGCAAAAAACCTTATTCATAATATTACTCATTCTTCTATTCGTTCATTACTTGCCCAGCCATACGCTGACTGTTACTACTCTAATATTAAATTTATACCTATATATATCCTACAAAATTTATGTAAAGTCGTTATTTATAAATTATCAACAATGAGAATTTTTAATAATTTATAAACACGTTCAGATGTGGCTAAAAGTAAAAAGATAATATATATTAGGGGCTTCTAAATTGCTAAAGGGGCATGCAGTTATATTTTCCTATTTATTATTTTATGCGTGAATGAGGGATCAAATAACTGGATTGGATGACAACACGTGAAATGAGAAAAATAAGGGATTAAATTCGGAGGAAAGGAAAAATCACTTGATACATATTAAAATTTATAGGAGATTATATTATTTAAGCATTTATTTTTCAAATTTCTATACATGAAAGAGAGTTTCTAGAGACCAAATTAAACTGATAGAAAGGATCCTACTGCCACTTGTCCTTTTTTGGGCCGACGGATCCTACTCCCCCAAAACCCTGGGTATTCTTTCCGGTTAACAAATTAATAGCTCTCCGATAATGTCTATTTTTATTATTTAAAAAGAGAAAAAGAAAATAAATAAAGAAGTCGGGTCAGTGCTTGACCCTGATAAGTGATGAGTCATAACCCGACTTCCAAGCCCGCCTTGATTCTGCTGACGCTGGGCAATCCTCAAGAACAATGATCGAGTGTCTAGCGCTAAACCTGCAAGTTCCTTCCTATCCCAATCGTGGTTTTCCCATCAACCATTGCAGCAGAATCAGCTCTCTACATCATTTCCGCCCATCTGTTTCATTCTCAGACCAGTCCAAGTTCCTACGTCTTCGAATTTCTGGTCGAACTCAAGCTACACCTGCGCCCATGGAAGCTGAACAAGCTGAAGGTTCTGTTGCGAACAGTGGTTCATCCCCACCCATGAAGCTTCTATTCGTGGAGATGGGCGTCGGCTATGATCAACACGGGTGTTGTAATCTATTTCCGTTTTATCTTCCTTTTCCTTGTTCTTCTTGCCCTTTCCGATAGATAGAAATGGTTGATCACTTCGCATTAATGCAGGCAGGACGTAACAGCTGCAGCAATGAGAGCGTGCAGGGATGCTATTTCTTCCAATTCAATCCCAGCTTTCCGAAGAGGCATGTTTGAGTTTTCGTTGATTACTATGTTAATTTTCGAAAGTATACTGATGTCTCCGAATGAACTTAAGAAGCTGTGTTTTTGAATGTGAGAATTGTTAATAGTTGCATAAAATTGTTCTGCTTTAGATTCATCATAGGATTTTGTAAATCGAGTTTCTTTTTTTTTTTTTTTTTGTGTGCCATCTTTCATTGTAGTTCCCTGAAGGAACAGCCAAACGGTTGAATAATGGATTATTTGTTCTGGCTATTACATCAATATTTCCCTAATACTGTAATACAATTTCTGATGATTGATCAATGTTGTTTAAAAATTCAGGAAGCTTATTTTGGGCCTTGATTTTTCAATATTTTCTTCAATTCTAATTAGTGGAGCATGATTTAGGTTCTATTCCTGGTGTCACCTTTGATCAGATGAAACTACAGATCAAGTTAGGGGTCCCTCATTCTCTCCAACAATCTTTGGATATTGAGAAAGTCAAATCTGTATTTCCCTAGTGAGTACTTACACTTCTGGATAACAGTGCTTGATCTTTCACTAGTGGCTATCTGGATATGATGCTTTTGTTATGAGTAAGAGATCTTCAAATTTTATAGATAGAGACAATTTTCATTGAAACTCGAGTTATGGAATCTATTATTTCATTTTTCTGGCTGGTTAAACGTTCACATTTCTAAGCAAAAAACTTTATCTTTTTTTTTTTTTTTGGGGTCTTCTTTGTTTACATTCCGCACAAAATTTTAAGTCTTAGTCTTAAAAAGTTTTGCTTGAAGGGAATACTGTATATTCTGATATGAATCTAGCGTGCCTGACCTTTTAGGGAGATTCTATGCCTGCAATGCTCAAATGCCTATTCATAATTGTTTGGGATGGATCTTCTTAATAACTCTTGGATCTTTCAGTTCATATGTGCTTGTTTGTAGTTTACTATATAACGAGTAACACCATATATATCCAACAAAACAAAAATGCAGTGGAAAAATTGTGAATGTTGAAGTTGTGGATGGAGGTTTGATATGCTCAAGTGGGGTGCATGTGGAAGAAATGGGTGATAAGAACGATGATTGTTACATTGTGAATGCTGCTGTGTATGTGGGCTATTGACTTGTGACTTCTGAGTTCTGAATGAACAACTTTGTAAGGTAAGTTCCTGCATTGTGCATATTCTGATCCTCCATTTAACACCATCATATCTAAATCCACTATTGCAGTTTTAGTCTGCTCATCCTTTTTGATAATATGACAGGCTAACAGCAGTAGGATCTTTATGGAGGACCAAACGGGTTTCACCAAATTACCTTTTGAGAGAATCTCCGTGAGAGAGAGCAGTGTCTGTATCTGGTTGCTTCGGCAGGAAAATGAGATTTCAGTCTAGTGTAATAAGCTCTCGTTCATATGTTAAGATCATTGTTTCGCTCCTCCATCGCATGTGAACGTGCTTCTTTTGATAATGGATATATGTTATTATGATGAAATTCGAACTCTTCCAGTTTGATTATTCCAGTACCAATCATAGTTCTTTTATGTTCTTTTATGTTACGTTTCTGTTGGAAGCAAGTTTTCTGGAGGAGAAAAATAGTGCAAGGGTCCATACTGTAGTACCCTTCCAGACCATAATACGTTAATTAAATTTTCTTACAAATCAAATGTGTTTCAAATTGATAAAATTACCCATTTTATCCTCATTATTTCCTCTGTCTCTTGCACTAAAAACCCTCTCTCCTCTTGATAATAAGGGTTGAAAGTGAAAAATTATCATCAATTACCCTGTAAACCTCTTATATTTTAGATCAAATTTTCTTCTAAAGAACTTCTTGTACTATCTTCAGTTTTTAATATAAGAGCTAGTTTGACTTTCAATTTGATCTTAAATATGATATTTCAATTTATTTTATTTTTTATATTATCTATTTTTTTTCAAAGTAATCGTTATAATAGTTGTCTATATTAAAGGTTCCATTAAATATAATACTAGTAAGTATTTTAGATATCTATTTATTACAAATAATTAACTTAAAATTTTTTTTTAATTTATTCAAATTAGTCACTCAACTCTTTTATTGATTACCATGGAGAGAGGGAGTAAGGGGATCAATTTTCTGACAAGATAACAGGCAATGGTCAAAGAGCACATGCTGTTGAAGAAGGCTGCACAGACACAAAAATTTGAAGATCATAGGCAAGTGGGTATAGATAATGGGCCTAATATAAAACAAGAGATGTCATACATCTGGTCTCATTACACAAGGCCGCCAGATGAGGCAATTGATAGCCCAATATGAAGAAAGTGTGACTATCCCTGCCGAAGGAGAGCGCAATCATGGCATTACCATTACTGGTGCGAAGAAGTAATTGATGAGAACAAATAAGATGCTGTAACATCAGCTTGCTTATAAGTAGGATAGGGACATCGTGGAAGTGACTTCCAATGTTTACTTTCAAGCTGAGCTTGCCATCCTGATTTTTCTTTTTTAGAAAAGTATGTGATAGGCAATGTAAGACATGTAAGTAGTTCTGTTAGCTTCTGGTAGTTTTGTTTTGTTAATATTATCGGACAATTTCATAATTTCATTCATGAATGGATACTCCTGATCTGTATCCAAGTTTCACGTCGACGTATACCATACATCTAGTACATTATTCACTTAAACATGAATATAATTAAAGTATTCTAAAAAAAAATTAAATTCTTATAATTTCACTGGTGACACACACATTGCTACCATTACAAATGCACAAGAATTTTCCAAGCATTTGTGTTTGCCTTGAGCATAAAATCAATTTTAAACTTTTTATAAACAGAACAAAGACGACGAGACCCATTTGTCAGAAACCCAGATCTCTATCTCCCGTTCCAAATCTAATCCTTACGCTAAGAGCAAGACATGGCTCGCCAGAAAAAAGGACATTCGTGGTCACACAGTTTGTTGCCAGATCAGTCTAACGTGTCACTTAACTGCTAACTTGGCACACATGCGAGCAAACACGCAGGTTTCGGTTTTTGTTCAAAACGAATTGCTGAGAATGAGAGCCTCCAAACGACTCTGAATTTTGTGGTGTGATTGAAGGAGCTCGAAAGTGTATCAGCTCAAGATGGAAGCAGCACAAAGAGATGCCCCAATTCCAGAGATGAAGCTTCTGTTTGTAGAGATGGGTGTTGGATACGATCTTCACGGGTATTATTTTCTTTTCTTAATCCCCTTCGTAGCTTTTCCCTTTCAAAGATTAGTTTTTTAACTTATAAACGTTGAGATTACAGGCAGGACATAACTGCTGCAGCCATGAGAGCTTGCCGAGATGCCATTGCGTCCAATTCAATCCCAGCCTTCAGAAAAGGTGCTTCTTACCCTCTTTTACATGAACACATCATAAACTCTGTTCTGGGTGTGTGTTGAACGAACAGAATAATAGTCATTTTTTGTCTGAACTTGTATAAAAGAAACTGGGTCTTTTTCTATTGCTATGATCACTTTCATAATTATCCTGATTCAAACGAGGTTGTGGAAGTAGAAACAGCTCTAAGAATTAGGTGAATGTGGAATAGGTAGCATACCTGGTGTCACATCTGACCACATGAAACTGCATGTCAAACTGGGTGTTCCTCTTCCTCTCCAACGACACTTGGATCAGGACAAAATCAAGACTGTGTTTCCATAGTGAGTATACTATCAAGCCATTGGTTTTCGAGTAGTCATGTTTAAAATAATACTAGTATATTCTCAATTATATATATAAATATAGAGAATATTCAGTATGTGAGGATTAGTAACTGTTCAAATGGTAGTAACTACTACTCTTCCGGTCCTTAATATAGGACCCAATTGTTGAGTTGGTTTTGGTCCTAAATATAAGACCTATTTTTCATATTTATCAATTTTATCTAAATTATCCCTATGAATACTCCTTCAACCATAATCAAGTAGAAGAGGAAGATGAGGTATTAACAAAGATAATTATGATATTTTAGGAAGAATGTGTCACATTTCTTATAATTAACTAACTTACTTAATTTTTTTAATTTAATTAAATTAGTTAAATGGTTTTATATTAAGGACCGGAGGAGTAATTAGCACGAGACAAAACGTTACTTTTGAAAAACCATTGCAGTGGGAAAATTGTGAGCTTTGAGGTTGTGAATGGTGGACTTGTCTGCTCAACTGAAGAAATGGCCGACCAAAACGATGAGTGTTACATAGTGAACGCTGCTGTGTATGTCGGCTACTAGATGCTCTACTTGCCTCGAAACTGTGATCTTAATGGTATGTGTTGCTTTTGGCCGTTTGATCTGTATGATCTATTAGTAATTGTTTCGTCTTGTAGTTGGAGATTATATGTCATTTCAACAACCAAAATAAAAAAGAAAGGTTCCGTTATTACTTAACCATATTTAACTATACAAGAGCATTAAAAAGGTGGTTTAGGACTGTATCTGAGTTAGATGCAGCGTTTAAATCTCGTTTTACTTTTTCTTGCTTGGAGGAATCTTCTATGGCAGTCCTGTCTGTTGGTTCTTTGTGAAGCAATTATGACAAGTGTTTCTGTACTTAATTGGGTGATTTTCCCTCGTTGTTTTTGTAGTTAATATAATTTGTACTTTTGTTAATTCTGGTCAAACTGGCTTCCAATTATCCTTGCACATGTACACCATATTTTATGCTAAAATAAAATTTTCATTGTTAAAGAAGGATGGGGACAAAGAAAATTGAGTTCCTCACGGCATTGTTATCAAAGTATTAAGACTTAATTCCAAACTTATTGTTATGAATAATTGTGTTCGCAATTGAAAACTACGGGGAAGAAACCAAAAGCAGGATTAAGAAAATGATCGTATAACAAATAAAAGAAATTAGGATGAACAAAATTAATATACACAATATCAGGACACTACAAATATCTTTGAAATTATTTCATATCATATATTTCACTTAGCTGTTACAAATCGCGGGACTCAAATGAACTGCCATCGAATAATATGAAACTAAATATCATTTTGTGATTCAGTAAAGATTAGTTTAGTTTATTCCCTTGGGAGAGCAGCTTGATCTCCATGACAGGCTTATTTTTGCTTGTTTTCCTTTCTTTTTTTTCTCCCCTTTTGAACCATCAATTTTTGTGGTTCAAGAAGCCTATAATTGTAAAATGTATCTCACCTCTTATCTACCCACCAACTAATGAGGAAGCTTCTCTATCTTTCACGAAATCACTGAGCAAGTGAACACACATAGAAACCTAGAGATTATGAAGGAAGAATCAAATTGGTGATGGATCTCACATACTGAGAGCTGCGTAGAGGAGCTGATTCCAGGTATCAGGTAGACCAGGTAGACACCAATGGCTACAGTCATTGCCTGCGTGGTCCCCACTATAGAGAGAAGGGTGGGCATCTTTTCTAAGTTGTGAGAGGAGTGTTATGTCAAGTAGATAAACAGGATATTTCATCTTCTTCAACACATTGTTCACTACAGAAGCTGAAGGAGGCAGACCTGCAGGGTAGGATGAACCAGATAATGGTTCTAGTTCTCCACTACAGCTCCTTGCTGGTTGATTCCACTCTTTGCCTCTGTAGTGAATCACGAGGAAAGTCTCAGAAGTTCCCATCTGAATATAAGCAAACTAAAAATCTAAAAAGGGAGATTTGACCTTTTTCATATGCATGAGATTTACTTACTGATAATGCGTAGGAGAAATGCCCTGAAAGAAGACTTTGGTCTTGGTGGGATCAACATTACGATCAACCCAATTAGCCCAAGTAGTTAGTCCCCTATTAAATGCTTCTAAACGATTCATATCCTGTACCAGTCTGGGACCGTCTCTTATGTAATCCCATCTGGATGTACCAAACATCAACAAACCATCAGATTTCACTAAGAAACATAGAAGACTTCGAATGAATGAGCTGATACAAAAAGATTAAACTTGATAAAGCAGCATAACCAGAAAAGCCCATGTACTAATGATGAATTTTTCTTGCTTAGATTCAGTCCATTAGGCCATTCTTGGATGGAATTCACATTTAGAAGCTTGAACATACCCTTGAGATTGTCCTTTGTGGGTCCACCAATGCCAGGAGTTGAAGATCAACATGTCCATGTCTTTCCATGCGTTTCCAGCTTCTATGGAGTTCAAGTCAAGCACTCGGCCCACGTTTTCTCGAACTATGTCCACCAAATATGGTGTGCGGTATAGGTGTAAAGTTACTCCATAGTCCTGCACAAGTTCACCGACTACCATAATCTCCACCGTCCTTTTTGGATGTTTGAGATTAACTATAATATTTAAGGCAAAGGCAAAAAACAAGCGGGGGGCAATGAATGCAAAAACTACTCGGATTCAGCGAATTGATTCTTCAAAAAGGATAAACGGTGTACTTGTAAAAACAAACAAGCAGCTCACGTGGAAAATAGTAGTAATCAACCTACCAAACACGCTCTGTCATGGCCACTATTTTAAACAAAAAACATGGTCCCTCCCACCATTCTTTTTCAACTTTTTATCAGCGGCCGGTAATGTTGAATTCCATGGTTTCATTCAAAGAAAAAAGCTCAAATTAATTGGCAAAAGGTAAGATCAATTAAACTACTATAAATTTGGGCATTTTGGGTGAAATCTCGTGAATGACTGTCTGAATGGAAGTCGCAGGAAGGCTTGTTGTCATAGCATGACTAATTTGGAATCTTCAAATGATTTATTTAGGTATATGTAAATCTTATCTGGGTTTGTAAAATAATAATGCATATTGCGGCTTCAAATGCTAGAAAAGATACTAACACTTATAAACTATGGACTGCAGAGTACAGAGTCACGTTCTTGGTTCATTAGATTAGAGTTAAACGGAAGGAAGCAAATAATTGCAGAGAGCCGCCAACTAATAATCATAGGTTGGCAAGTTTGCCTCACAGCCTGTCAAGTGGCATTAATAACACACTATGTCTTCAAGATCTAAAAGCACACAGTTATACAAGTCAACATTAAACTGATTCCTCTTTAATAATTTGGTTTTAGGACTTCGTTCCTTACAAGCAAATCAAATTGGTAGGAGGTCTTTCCTGTTTCTTCCCTCTTTTAGGTGGATGCTTTAGTATATTCATTGTTCCTCTTTTGATTGCCCCTGGCCCAGCAAGAGGATTCTGATCCTATTCAAAGCTCTATTATTTAGAAAGCTAAAGGTCTGCTTTTATTGTAATTTACTCCATCGCCAATCAAGTGCTCCTGCCGCGTCAATTGCTTCTAATGAAACTCTTAAATTTTTCTATCTATCAGTTTTAATGAATGCGGTAGGAGGAAAGTGAATGAACAATGGGAACTGGAAAGCACCAATAAGAGCAAGAACCACAAATGAGAAAAGGCAGAGAGAGAGAGAGAGAGAGAGAGAGAGAAACGTAAAAAGAAGAAAGATGGAAAGACAGGCGTGGAACTCTGAAAGCACACTGAACAGTAACACTTGTGCAGTAATGCTGACAAAGCAACCGAGGGAAGGAGAGTGGAAACAAAATTAGCAAACCTGGAAGATCACAGTAGATAGTGATTCTTTCCTCAAAAAGGTGGTCTTGGTATTGGGCACCGACGCGTGAATCATACAGGCCATTGATTCCCACATGTTCAGACTGAGGGAGTCACCAATAAACATTATCTTCTTCCCGCTCCACCTGTTCAGGAGATCCTTCCCGTCGAACCTGACACCATTAAAGAATGCAGATTCATTAAAAGCCACCTTCAGAGCCAGTTTTCAAGAGTTAATAGCATTAACCATTTTATCAAACAGTTTCAAAACCATTCTGTTTAGAGGCAACTTTTAGCTTGACAAACTACATCTCAAACATGTAATCTGGGAACAAAGAAAAGAATGTTAGAAAATTTTGAGCCATTAATGGGTAGTGTACCTGGGCATGGCACACGAATCAGGCTTCCAGGAATATTTGAGATACTGATTGTCAGGTCTCCCGTACTTTTGGCAATCAAACTCAGCATCTATGAAGGGACAGCTTGAAGAGTCATAGAACGGATATGAAGGGTCAGTCACCCAGCTTCCTATGAACAAGTTACACCCACTTGCTTGCTTTCTCCCCCTCAATGAGCTACTCGCATTGAAAAACTTTGCTGCTCTTGCTTGGTGAAGAGTCACAAGCAGAGCTTGTAAGAAAAGAGAGAGCAGAAACAGAGAATGAACCCTGAAAATGAAACCCATTGGGAAACTTGGGTCGCAGAAACAAACAGATTAAATGGCCTGTGAATAACAGCTTGTACGCTTATGGGTCATTTATAGATGCAGGAGGCAGGAAATGCAGGACAAGTTGTACTGCATAGTGGTGGGTTCACATGGTGGGTACTAGAGGACGCTGATTTTTATTTTCTGACATAAGTTATAGGGCGTCTTGGCTCTTGCTTCCTTGGATGCATTCGCAAGCGCCATACGTAGTATTAACCTGTGGGGTTAACAATGAACGGCTTGTTTTATTGGGAAAGTCAATGTTACAGCAATGTAAGGGAATTGAAAAATGATAATTGAGGTTTAGCATAGTTCGAGTTTTGAGAATATAGCCGTGTTAAATATTTTGGGGAAGAACTTTACCATCTTGTTATGTCCTGTTCAGTTCGGTCCGGAGTAACACGAGCTCAGTCGAAAGTGAGGCAGGGCCGGGCGGTTTGAGTTTTGGGGGACGGAAGTTTAAAGTTTTAAAAGGTTAATTTAATGACAATTAGATTTTCTTTGTAAAAAAAAAAAAACACAATTAGATCTTCAAAAGAAAAAAAATCAGTTGCAAGTATAATTTAAACAGTTGCACACACGAATTATTGTAGTTGAAACTTAATGATTCCCTTTAAATTTTTTTCTATATAAGATATGAATAATTGAATTGCGTGTATATAAAAAAATTGATTAAAATTTGTTAAAGATAATAAATATGTAAAAAAAAATGTAACTTATTTTCAAAGTGTATGATTAGAGTCATTTAAAAAAAGATTAAGATGCAAATTTGCTCAGTCAGTTTTCATTAAGGAGTTTTGGATATTTAGTAGTTTTTTTGGAAACAAATTTATCTCGAAAGTTTAAAATTACAGCAACATTACCTTTTACTATTAGAAAACTAATGTTGATTATCACAATAGTAACATTGACCAATATCTTTAATGATATAGGGCAATATTGCTACGACTTCAAATTTTTGAAGTAAATTTGCTCTAAAAAAATTAAATACCCAATGCTTTTAAGTAAATTTAATTATATATAAAAAAATATAACGATAGAAGGGAGTAACAACTGAGAATCCTAAATTTACGAGTATTTAAATCTGAATTCATAAAATATTTTTTAAAATTACCGCAAACCTAACTATTATTATTAAATTCACCTAGGGACTTAATTGTTTATTCTCCCATGACTTTTTTCACTTCCCTGCAAAAATAAAGACCATGAGTTTGCTGGCTTTCCGCTGGCTTCCAAGTCACGGGGTGAAATTGTTGTGTGTGATATGTCTCATATGCATGATTGAGGCTCCCCGTGTCTGCAAGTCAAACTCTGAATTATTTATACTCCTCTGCCTAAGGTATTACTCCTCCGGTCCTTATTATAAGACCCAATTTGACTTTTTATTTGGTCCTAATTATAAGACCCA